CATTTCACTAGTTTACTTGAAACAATACGCACTAGTGATTAAATATGGGAAAGCTTTTTATGTTTTCTCTGACTTAATCCAACCGTCTATGTTGAATGGAAGGTTAAGATTGCTTTAATCACAATGTCACGTCTCTAAACTATTTTATTTTTAATTTTTTTTCTATAAACTATTTTGACACTAAATTTTGTACGTCCAATCCTTTATTAAACTCGCACTAGTAAAAAATATAAAAATATATTTTCCATAAAATAAAATGATCAAAATACCCTTGAAAGTTTCAAGAGGTATTTTTATCATTATATTTTATCGAAAAATTATTTTTAATATTTTTTTATATATGCGTCTCAATGAGAAGATGGCATGTACCAAATTTCATATTGATATAATTTGTATAAAATCAATCAAAAATAAAATACTTTGAGATGTCGGATATAAGATCAAATGGTGAGTGGCTCTTTAAATCAAAGATGAACGGCTAGATAGTAGGGAAGCATAGATCTTCCAAAACCATTTCCTACGCATGTACGAGTACACTATTCATTTGTTTCCTCAGTCCGGATCGAAATCCGAAATTTGATATTCGAGAACAGTGACAAGTGGCGTCATCGCATCGGAAGTTAGTCTTCGCCCGATGGTTCGAGACAGTTGGAAGGGTCCAGGAGGTTCCAGTGCCGCTTCTCCCCGCTTCCAGAAACCAGCAAACTCTCGACATAAACCCCCATCCCTCTCTCACTTTCCTGTATCCAATTCCATTCCTCGTTCAAAATTTACAGTTTCTTTTCCCATAATAATCACTCCTATTACTATATTATCTTTGTTTGATCGATTGGAGAAGAAGGCTTGCTTTTTTTTATTCATCAAAATTCGCTGCTATTCCTATATTATCTCTGGTGTTGATTGTTTGAGAAAGAGAAGAAGAAGCTATGAATCCGGACAAGTTTACCCACAAGACCAACGAAGCTCTGGCAGGAGCCCATGAGCTCGCGGTGAATTCCGGTCATGCACAGCTCACTCCGCTACATTTAGCCCTCGCCCTCATCTCCGAAGCTGGCGGCATCGTCCGGCAGGCAATCTCCAATGCGGGTGGAGGCGAAGAAGCGGCAAACTCATTTGAACGGGTTCTCAAACAGGCCATGCGCAAGATCCCTTCCCAAGAGCCGGCCCCTGATGAGGTGCCGGCGAGCTCTTCTCTCATCAAGGCGGTGAGGCGTGCGCAATCTTCCCAGAAATCCAAGGGGGATACGCATTTGGCGGTCGATCAATTGATTCTCGGACTTCTCGAGGACTCTCAGATTGGTGATATACTGAAAGAGGCCGGTGTGAGTCCGGGACGAGTGAAAGCGGAGGTGGAGAAGCTGAGAGGCAAGGAAGGAAAGAAGGTAGAGAGTGCCTCCGGAGATACGAATTTCCAGGCGCTCAAAACGTATGGGAGGGATTTGGTAGAGGAGGCAGGGAAGCTTGACCCTGTGATTGGTAGGGATGAAGAGATTAGGAGGGTGATAAGGATCCTGTCGAGGAGGACCAAGAACAATCCGGTGCTCATCGGGGAGCCTGGTGTCGGAAAGACAGCCGTGGTCGAAGGTCTTGCACAAAGAATTGTGAGAGGCGATGTACCGAGCAATTTAAGTGACGTGAGGGTGGTTGCTCTGGACATGGGAGCTCTGGTAGCAGGAGCAAAGTACAGAGGTGAATTTGAGGAGAGACTCAAATCTGTGCTCAAGGAAGTTGAAGAAGCTGACGGCAAAGTCATCCTTTTCATTGATGAAATTCATCTAGTCCTTGGCGCAGGTATTTGCCCACTTGCTGCTAATGATTGATTTTAAATTAATCACTGCAATGCATATTTGAAATGATTCATGTTATTTGTTTTCATCAATAATTACAACACCAATTAAATAACCCCAATTTGCAATGCTTAATTTTGATTAGCTTACTACAATGCGAATTTGAAATGATATCTTGTAGTTGTCTAAGTCAGTTCTGCAATACTCAGATTAAATAACCCGGATTTGTTTTAGAATCAGTCATGGCAATCCACATTTCCTTTCACAAAACAGAGTAAATAACCCTGATTTTCAATGCTTAATTTTGAATAGCTTACTACAATGCATAATTGAAATGATTCCTTGTAATAGTTTAAGTCAGTCATGCAATACTCTAATTAAATGACCCCGATATGTTTTGGAATCAGTCATGGCAATCCACACTTTCAATCACAACACAGATTAAATAACCCTGATTTGCAATGCTTAATTTTAATAGCTTACTACAATGCGTATTTGAAATGATTTCTTGTATTTGTTTAAGTCGGTCCTGCAATATTCCGATTAAATAACCCCGATTTGTTTTAGAATCAGTCATGGCAATCCACATTTCCAATCACTCCCCGAACCTGCCTTGTTCATCCTCTCTTGTGCAATGTGGGTTTGCTGAATTAGGGTTTGTTGGGTATAGGGAGAACTGAGGGCTCAATGGATGCTGCCAATTTGTTTAAGCCCATGCTCGCTCGTGGGCAGTTGCGGTGCATTGGAGCGACGACTCTCGAAGAGTACAGGAAATATGTTGAGAAAGATGCTGCGTTCGAGAGGCGATTCCAGCAGGTTTATGTGGCTGAACCGAGCGTTGAAGACACTATCAGCATCTTGCGAGGCCTCAAGGAGAGATACGAGAACCATCATGGTGTTCGTATTCAGGACAGGGCCCTGGTCGTCGCTGCACAGCTCTCTAGTAGATACATAACTGGTATGTAATCCTGTCTCGCAATTTTGGAATTTTTGTTCTTTAATGTTGTCGTTATCCTCTCGATTAGGTCTTGGAAAGTGAATTCAGGGTTGGAACTGAATTTTTCTTTCTGTGGTGTGGTTGGTGCAGGGCGCTATCTTCCAGACAAGGCCATTGATCTCGTGGATGAAGCTTGTGCAAATGTGAGGGTTCAGTTGGATAGCCAGCCTGAAGAAATTGACAAACTTGAGAGGAAGAGGATTCAGCTTGAAGTAGAGCTACATGCGCTGGAGAAAGAGAAAGATAAAGCTAGCAAGGCACGCCTTGTAGAAGTAAGTTCTTTAATCGCTCAACATATATTGATGTAATTGAGAAATCCACTTCTGTTTCTTTGGTAACTTTGCTCAAACCAGGAGATGTGACTAAACGAACAATGCTTATGATTTTTTATTCAGGTTCGAAAAGAGCTGGATGATCTGAGGGATAAGTTGCAGCCATTGATGATGAAGTACAGAAAGGAAAAGGAGAGAGTGGATGAGATCCGTAGGCTGAAACAGAGACGTGAAGAACTCCTTTTCGCTCTACAGGAAGCTGAGCGCCGAATGGATCTTGCCCGTGTTGCTGATATTCGATATGGGGCACTTCAGGAAATAGACGCTGCCATTGCAAAGCTTGAAGAGAGCACTGATGAAAACCCAATGTTAACGGAGACCGTCGGTCCAGACCAAATTGCAGAGGTATGTTGGGGACAAAAGACTTCACTTCTTCTTATCTTTTGAAGTTTTTGTGAAGACGACCTGTGTGTTCCTTTAAATAACATCTATTGCCTTCTCTATTGTTGCTTGTTGTTCAGCATTGTGGGGCATTTGACTTTTGGGTTATTGGGTTTGTTTCTGTTATTAAATGTCACCTTCTTTACAATTTTTTTCTATGGTAGTTCTATTTTCTTTTTTTGGGTCTTTTGAACTGTTTTAGTTGCTTAAATGGCTTCCATCACATGAAGGTTTTCTCTGCCATCTTTACTGAGTTAGTGGGTGCTGAACTTGGTTTTTGGATTTCCTGTTGACAGGTGGTAAGTCGGTGGACGGGGATACCTGTGACTAGGCTTCGCCAGAATGAGACAGAGAAGCTGATAGGGCTGGCGGATCGGCTACACCAGAGGGTTGTGGGCCAAGACGAAGCAGTGAATGCAGTGGCAGAGGCAGTCCTAAGGTCGCGAGCTGGCCTCGGCAGGCCGCAGCAGCCAACAGGATCCTTCCTCTTCCTTGGGCCAACAGGTGTGGGGAAAACAGAACTGGCAAAGGCCCTGGCAGAGCAACTCTTTGATGATGCGAAGCTCCTTATACGCATTGACATGTCCGAATACATGGAACAACACTCTGTGGCCCGCCTTATCGGTGCCCCACCTGGTTATGTCGGCCATGAGGAAGGGGGCCAACTGACCGAGGCGGTCCGCAGAAGGCCTTACAGTGTGATCCTGTTTGACGAGGTGGAGAAGGCCCATATATCTGTGTTCAATGCATTGCTGCAAGTGCTCGACGATGGGAGGTTGACTGATGGGCAAGGTCGGACTGTCGACTTCTGCAACACTGTCATCATCATGACATCAAATCTAGGGGCAGAGCACTTACTTGCTGGGTTGTTGGGGCAAGAAACAATGCAGACTGCTCGTGAGAGGGTGATGCAAGAAGTGCGAAGGCACTTCAAGCCTGAGCTGCTCAACAGGCTGGATGAAATCGTGATCTTCCAGCCCCTAACCCATGACCAGCTGCTTAAGGTGGCCAGGCTCCAGATGACGGATGTTGCCGCACGTCTGGCCGAGAGGGGAATTGCTGTGGCAGTGACAGATGCCGCATTGGAAGTTGTATTGGCTGAGGCTTACGATGCGCTGTATGGGGCAAGGCCCATAAGGAGGTGGCTCGAGAAGAAGGTGGTCACACAGTTGTCGAAAATGCTTGTGAAGGGGGAGATTGATGAGAACTCAACCGTTTACATTGATGCTGCCGGGAAGGGGAAACGGGAGCTTGTGTATCGTGTAGAGAAGAACGGTGGTTTGGTGAATGCAGACACGGGGGCTAAGTCGGACATCCTAATTAAGCTATCCAACGGTATGCGGAAGAATGATACAGAACAGGCAGTGAAGAAGATGAAGATGGATTTGGACGAGGAGGAGGACATGGAGGACTAAGAAAGCAGATGACTCCTGTCTGAGGCACAGACATTACTGTTCCTACTTGGCGCCGGACGCTGCTTTCTGTGCTGTGCATTCATCTTCAGCTTCATCGTTTTCTTTATTTTTTTTGTTTTGTTGGTTGGTTTTTTGATGGATATTGAGCTACTTTTGCAGCTGTGTTGGTTGTGGCATGTAACTGTAAGATAAATTTGTGACATGTAACTGTAAGATAAAACTATTTATGTATGGATGCTGGAGATTTTGGTCTTTTATCGGAGAATGTTTACTTGGTCCTGTTTTGTGTGCCCTAAGTTCTATCAGAGAAGTGGGAACTCATTGCATATTGTTTTGAAATGCTTGTGAAGACGCACATCAATATCTTAAGCCATCAAAGAAACTTCCTGAAGTCCAACCTCCCTCACTTTGATCCGCAAGGAAAAGGGTCTTTCTTACGTATCTTGTTTTGTGCCTATCTGCTATTGCAATACCATCTATAATTGTGATCTAAGGAAATTAGTTCTAATGATCTAAAATATTGAAAAATAAGGAGATAAAAAATATCTAAGAAATGGAAAATAAAAACAAAAAGAGGTGGATGCGATAAAACAGTAAATAAATAAGAGGGATAAATTTTTTTTTTTTGCTATTTCTCATCATTCTGTCATTTTTTGGTTATTTGATTTTAAATCTGCGATTTGCTTCCTTGTTCTTGCCGAAACTCTTACCATGTGTGCTCCTTTTCACAACTACTTCGGACATGCGCACAACAAAAACCTTTTGGAAACACCTGAATTCACCGGTGGGTCTTAAGCTTAACTTTAATCCGCATTTCAGCTTTCTGGAACCTTCTTATCCATAGCAACTTAGTGCAAATGTTTCCAAATCTTTTTGTTTGGTGTTTGCATAATTCAAAAAGAAATAGGGTATAGAGTTAATTACGTACGGACCTATAACAAAAATCGACTTGTTACTTTTATACTAAAAAAATACAATCAATGTCGGTCAATGTCCTTATGCTTTTTTGGGTCAAAACGTAAGTTGCGGTCCGACGATGGCATTTTATGACAGTTTTTTTCTTTCACGACTTAAGTTTCCGTCTGAGAATACCAATCTCGGACTGCAACTTTAAATTTTCGAAAAAAAAAAAAGGTACCTACTTTTTTTTTTTGTTCAAAATTTAAAAAGTGATTTGGCGATACCATCCCCCGACTGCCTTATTTATTTTTTTTGTTTTTTGTTTTTTTTTATTTTTATTTTTTTTAACTTAAAGTTACGGTCCGAAGATTTCATTCTTTGACCTTTTTTTTTTTTCAAAAAGCTTAAGTTTTGGTCTTAGGTTGAAATCCTAGGACCTCAATTTACCTTCAAAAAAAAAAAGCACTTCAAGAATTGATCCTCATACCGTAACTTTAAAGTTTTGAAAAAAAAAGAAAAACGGTCTGTGGATGACATCGTCAGACTGAGGGGATAATTTTATCCAAAAAAAAAATTATGTTGACAGACCTTGGTTATAATTTTCGAATATAGTGAGAGCAACCCATATTCTTTTAATTTATATAAAGGCCGTACGTAAATAACTCTAGGATATATAACTATGTTTGATGATCTGTGGTCAAAACCTGAATCCCATGGTTCCATCCTAGTCTAGGTCTAGGGCATGGTCATTGGTCCAAGGGGCACCATCTAGATGCTCCCCTGACTCGAAACCTCCCAGTGGGTCAGCCTAGTCTTAGTCCATATGGGACCATCTCCGGAAGTCCTGGTCCCAAGGCGGTAGTTCTCATACACACCATTTAGGAACTGTGGAACACCATATCTATATTCCTAAAAAATACGAAAAATAACCAAGGGATAGATCGGGGGCAATTCTTAAAGATATGGGAATTAACCTTCAATCTAGTCAACCTAATCAAGGTAGGCCACAAGTACAAGCCCCCAAATAACCTTGAGCCAACAACCCAGATCAGGGTCAATCCTGTGGCTCAGCTACCATTAGACAATCACTTGAGCCAAAGACCACCTCTTAGGACTGGAGCACGTAGTTGAGGATTCTGCTCTACTAGTTGGCCATCACACCAAGGACACCTAGACCCGATGAATCAAGGTCCACCTCAAAGGTCAAAGACCCCAGCTCAGGCCTCTAGTCGTAGTCTTGGGGGTCATTCTCAATCATCCATCAGTGAGCACCATATACTGCAAGCATTATTGTGAAACTTAGATTAGGTTAAATCTAACCACCTTGATTACGTGACTGGCCAGTCAGTTCCTGAAAGCCAATAATGGTCTAGTGCCTAAAGCAATCAAGGGCCATTAGCCTAATAGACCATGATTAAGGACTCTTTGGGTAAAATCGAAGGACTTGTACCAGATATCATGGATCACTTGAATCTCCCTTTCGTACCATTAGGCATGGCACTGGGCTGGGTCAACCTTAGCCTAAAATGGACCATAAGGGCCATGGCCCAAGCCCAGCTCTGAACCTATTCAGGATTGATCGGGTTGGGCCGACAGAAAATATAGGGAAACGAAAATTGAAGAAAAAAATCGGGCTAAATAGAGCTTGGCCCGGCCTGGTCCTCGAGCCATCGTGGCTTGGCCTTGGCCCTACCCTCGAGCCACATTTTTACTAAATGTGTGTAAAATGACATAGAAAACTTTTCAGGCATGGGAAATCTCGAAAGAAAAGAAATAGACATGTGTTTGAAACCAGTTGTTTGTCTAACGAGATGATTAAGAATGGGAAATTGGAATTGTTTTTAAATTAGGTACCCATTGACAAGGAATTTTATTTCAAAGAAGGATCTCATATCCAATATGAGAATGCGATAAAAATGGGAATACCCAAATCAAGGGTGGGTGGCATATGAATATCCCCTTCTCCGAAGAAATTACTAAGGGCGGGTTTGGTAGGTATGAAGATATTTTCATGTGAAAATTATGTTATGCATGTTTGGTACATGAAAAATACATGTGAAACTTATCCCGTGGTAAAATATTTTACCACAAATTAACCAATTCATGTGAAAGTAGAACCGCATCTCTTGAGATAGGGAAATATTTTTGCGGTTTATTCTCACACATCTAAGCCGCCCACTTTATTGAATACAAGTAATTCCAGCACCCATGGATCAGAGAGAGAAACTATCTCAAAAATTTAAGTTTTAGATAGAGAAAGTATCTTAAATTTTTAAAGAAAGAAACTACCAACTTTTTTTAGAGAAACTATCCCAAATTTTAAGTTTTAAAGAGAGAAATATCTTAAAATTTTAGAGAGAGAAACTATATCAAATTATAGATAGAGAAACTACCTGAAAATTTTTGGGGTAAGAAACTGTCTCACAATTTTTAGAAAGAGAAACTAGTTCAAAGTTTTTAGACAGAGACGCTGTTTCAAATTTCAAATTTTTAGAGAGAAAAATTGCCTCAAAATTTTTAAAGAGAGAAACTGTCTCAAAGATTATGTTTTAAAGATAGAAACTATCTTAAATTTTCTAGAAAGAGAAATTATATCAAATTTTAAATTTTAGCGAGATAAACTACTTCAAAATTTTTAGAGAGAAAAACTATCTCAAAATTTCAACTTTGTTAGTCTTCTCTCTATCTCTCATCCTGTATCCGTCTGTGTTTATCAAATATGGGGAAAAGCATGCTTGAGTAATTTTTTTTGTTAATTGTTTGCATGTAAATATTTTCATGAGAAACTTTCATGCATACCAAACAACCCCTAAGCTAAATTTTAATGGATGTTCTTTAGGCAATCTCGGGCTAGTGGCTGTGCAAGTATGACACAGTTAACTTGGTTGAAAATGTGGTTTGCCACGGGACTAAAGCTATTTAATTAGTTACAAGAGGTGTTGCAATAATGATGGAAGGTGATTTACAAAACGAATAATTTTATATAAGGATGCTATGTAGAATTACAGGTGCACCTCAAAAATCCATAGTGAAAGGTTGTTTGGATGTTGGAGAACTATCTGATTAATCATATCGACATCGAGATGTATGAATATAAAAAGAGAAAAAAGATTTTTAGCCTGCAAAATAGTGTATTGGACCGTCTATTTTTAAGATTTTCATGTATTTATAGATCTATTTGATTTGAAACATTTTTAGAATTTAAAATTTTATAATTACATATGAAAATAGATTCTCAGCCATCCTAAAATTTTTTATATCAAAATTATACTTATGATAAAATTTAGAAATATGCCTTAATTGGATTGTTTAAAGTTTCAACTTATGCGAATAACACCCTTCACAAAATGTTATGAAATGTGGTGTAATAAGGAGTAAAAAATTCCATAGGGCATAAGTTCAACATGGTTGTAAATTCATGATCTAATTTGTCATATAATATATATATATATATATATATATATGCTGAGATGCCACTAGTTCATATGAACATATGAGCCCAACCATACGTTCCATCGTGTTATAAAGTAAAAAGCATTGTTAATGAGAGGATAGACAGAAAAGAAGCATTAACACGTACATCATACACTTTGTTTTGGGTTGAAGTACACAAAACATGACCAAGAACATGACCAAGTTAGGAAGATTCATACAAAACACTACAAAATTACAAATCAATTGGGGATTCATAGAAAACAATACTATTTCGATTAACAAAGAGTAACTGTAAGTTTGCAAAGGTTTTCAGTACATTGTCTTGGAGTTGATCATCTAATAATAGAGATGAAGTTGAAAATTTCAGTTTTGATGGCTCCTTCAGATATGGCAGTCATTGTACAACCTTAGATAAGCTCTATGTTGATAAATATAGGCTCTACAAAAAAATTAAGATAGTCATTCAATCAAGTAACCGTATGATATGTCTTAATTATTATTTTTTTCTATAAGTGATCAAACCTAATCATTATTAATGGTACAAGTGATCAAAGCAAATCAAAATTCAACAATATCCAATCTTGTTCATTTTTCATATATTTCATTCAGAGATTCAGCTCATAAATGTTGTATTGGGCTATTAAAAACCTATCTTCCTTAGTATCGATAAGTGATTCATAAAGCATCCTAAAGAAAACATATTCACTTTTGAACCTCCTAAACATAACAGCCCATATTTTCTTCAAAATACAAGCAATAGAAGATGAATTGTGAAGTAGTGTTTCCACTACAAGGCTTAGTAGAAGCTACCATAGCCAGATCAAGACCACTGAACGAGAACAAACATGGAAGAACCCCTCCTCAAATTTAGTGAAATTAGCTAACAAAATGTGAGCAGTACATGCATGTGAATTCTTTGATCCTCGCAAAAGCAATCACTAATCTATTACAGCCCTAGAGAGAGATTCAGTTTCTCTAGCAAACAATCAACAAAGAAATCCATTCCTAGTTTACAGATAGAAATAAGAGAGAAAGAGGGAGAGATAGACAGAGAGAGATGGAGGCGGCATAAAAACTTAATAGAAAATTTAACCAAGCGTTAATCACCTGTGAACATCAGCGATATATTACTTTAGAGAGAGAGAGAATAACCCTGCTAGGGGTATGGGACAACAAGTTTGGGGCATTTCTGGAATGGGTGGTATGCCAGAGCTCTTGTTTGCTAGGTCTTCAACGAGTTGGGGTTCCGCTGGTTAAGACTCAGGGGGGCTTTGTGAAGAGAGAGAAAGGGGAGAAGAGAGAGGTAAGGCTTTGGAGTCGTAAATGGAAAGGAGGACCGACAGAGAGATAGGCCTCTTTTAAAGCAGAGGCCCTTCCCGTCTGTGTTTCAAACATCCCCACTTAATAACAACGAACCTGACGGTGAATGGTCCTTGCTTTATGTCCCTTCACAGTTCTCAAGTTGGAGCACAGAGTTTGGGGCATTGCTCTTTCACGGAGGAGAGCGGGAGAGAGCAAGCTGGGGCAAAGATTATTAGAGGCGAGCAGGAGAGGAGCGGCAATTTCAAAAAATTATTTTAGAGAGAGAGAGAAGCAAAACGAAAACACCGACGACTCGGTGAGGAGCCGGTTAGACGTTAAGCTTCTCATTTTGATCTAGAGATTCACACTCATTTCCAGCGGCTTTTATCGGGGTCCTATATAATCGGATGTAGAAAGGTCCTACAAGAATTTTTTTCTACTCATATGTGCATGACATCATCATTAAAATTCGTATGGATTGTTAAAAAAGTTATTACATGAATATGAGATTTGATTTTTCAATAGATTCGTACTAAATTTGATGGTAATTTTTTGAAATCCTATATATAAGACGAGAGTCCTATAAAATCATAAATTTAATAGTGATCTTTTAAAATCCTATATATATATATATATATATATATATAAAGTAGAAAGTAGGTACTAATAAATTAATAATAGTAATGATGAT